GGTTGAAAATTAAAGATCATTTTAAATGTGCCTAAAATGAAGTCTTATCAAACGAAAGCAGGATTTAGAAAGCCCAGCACTTTCCAATTTGCTTAAATATCCAAGGGCCTTTTAAATAGCAGAAAACAAATGCTATTTTACAAATACTTTGTTAACATTCAAAACCTTGATGTTTCTAAATATTTTACAGCAATTCACAAAACCTAATGAAAGTCCAACTGCTGAATATATACTTAAATATAAAATGTAAATTGTCAAAACTATAGTCGAATGAGTAAAGAGCAAACATTTACAGGGTGACATTCATAAAATAAACAATATAAAGGTGACATTTATAGAATAAGCAAATTTCTGAAATGAGAGAAATATTTATGTGGATTCCAACAAGACTACTTCACGTGTGCATTAACTACAATAGAGTTTAAAATAAGAGCAATGTTCCTCAGATACCCTTGACTATTCTGGAAGTGACAACTTAGAAAAAGTCTGGCTACACTGAAGAAAATCAGTTTGAACTCTACAGCCAACCTCAAGGGCTCCAAGTACCGCCCTTAGCCATTTACATTTCAGATGTATTAGACTTGTAGCTCCTCTGTAACTTCAAGCTCTCTTCTGATTCCCTCCCTCAGCTCAGGTGACTCGTGTGTGGCCATGATCAGACTCCTGACCCCCACTAAGCCTAACTCCTCTTCAGTCTTCAAGATTCAGCTTACATATAGGTAGACTTTGATCTCTTCTCTGCCAATCTGGGTTAGCTATTTCTGGCCCGTGTTCCCATGTGCCCTGCAGAACTCCATCAAAATACCTGTCATATTGTCATACAATTCTCTCTTTACTTGCCACTCCCCCCACTTCCCACTTGACTCTATGGTTGTTTCTTTACCCCTTGAGCCTAAAATTTTCTAGCCTATTGTAGATGCAGAAAAGACACATCTGGAAAAAATAATGTACAACTGAGGAAATTCTGGAAACCACGGTGGCTACGAGGAATCATTTAGTTCAACAAATATTTGAGTGTCTAAGTGGGCCTCACCTGTGTGGATAGATAGACAACCAAAAGATACAGTGTTTGCCATGAGGAGTTGTATGAGTAAACAAATGACTATATTACCATGTATTACGCAAAGTAATCTAAGAATGGACCTGGAAATTAGACTTCACTTTTCCTTCTATTTCACTCCCACGCATAAAATTAAAATTCTGTAAATTTCATCCTATCTGAACTACAACCTTTCTATCCTTCTCTGGCTTGACTACACTGTACGTTTCTGAAATGTTTAGTAGCTTATAATGGGATTGGTAAAAAAGAAGAATATCAGTAAAACAAAGAGGTCATACTGGTTCATTTGGAGTTTTTCCCAGCTACATTAACGTTTTGTGCCACGAAGGTCAACAGCCAAATACAAAGTATTTAACAGCTAACATCAGCTGTTATTTTTGGTGCAAGATTTTACAGAACATGAGGGTTTTCAGGAATACGCTATTTTCTACAACAGAAATGACTGTACATTCATCTTTGATTAGCCATATTAAATTTATTAAATAAGCATATATTTACTAAAGGAGCTACTGCTGTGTGTCAGGGACAGCAACAAAGGAGAAAAGGCGGCAACTGAGTTACTGATGATGACTACTCTGCCAAGTACTGTGTTAAAGGTTCTGAATACTTTGTAATTTGATTCAGTAACTGATAAGGTAGATAATAAAAAATAATTCACGTTGAATTTTAATGGAATGTGATCTAATTTATGGCCAGTCTGATAAGCTCAAAATGTTATTTTTATCATCGTTTATTTTTATATCAGAATGTTATCTTTATCACAGCTTATTTATAAGCTTTCACAGACTAACCAATATCCTCATGAATACAGAAGTATAAATTCTCAACAAAATTTTAGCAAATCTAGCAATACTTAAGAACAATAATACACTATGACCAAGTCAAGGTTATCCCAGGAATACAAGGTTGGCTTAACATCAAAAAATAATCAACAGAATTTACCTATTAACAAACAAAAAAAGAAAACCCTATTAGCTCAGTAGATAAATAAAAAGCTTTTGACAAAATCCAAAGTCCATCATGATAAAAACTCTTAGAAAACTAGAAACAGAAGGGACAAGAATTTTTAAAGTAGTTATTATAGCTTAAAGGATACATTCATAATGAACGCAAGACTGGAAACTGCAGAAGAGAAATAAAAACTATTAAAAAAGAATCAAACTGAGGGACGCCTGGATGGCTCAGTCAGTTAAGCACCCAACTTGATCTCAGCTCAGGTCTCGATTTCAGGGTTGTGAATTCAAGCCCTGTGTTGGGCATGGAGTCTACTTTAAAAAAAAAAAAAAAAAAAAA